GTGATAATATGCTCAAGCCTTGCTAATGGATCGTAATGATGCCTCTGAGAACAAGAATAGCCACTACTGCAAGGGTAACGCATACAAACCATGTACTCGTTTCATCTTGTTCGCGCCAAAACTCGGGAACGTGATGCTACAGGCTAATAGCACATAAAAATAATGACGATAGGCTTTCATATGATATTCCACAAGGGATTTGTGTGAAAACAAAGAGATAATTACAAGATCTCCCTGTGTATTTACAAACATATCACAGTATATACTTGTATAAACTGTATGAATTACTGCGCATAGCTTTAAAGAACACAGAGATAATCACAAGACCTACAACTATACGTACATACATATCACGTATATACTTGCATAGCCTATGCGAACTTATTGCAACTTAGCTTTAACGAACCCACGTTTGGCAAAATGATATAAATACGACAGCTCCACCCTGACAATTCGGGGAGAGAAAAAGAGAGAATGATAAAATACAAATATTACGTGGCATTATACAATAAAGACTGTAAAGCGATAGTAGTAATCCAAAATAATAATATTTTACTTAGATGATGAGGTTACGAAAATAAGAAATATATGTGGGGACATTTAGTTAAGGTCTAGTCTTTATCTTCTGGAAATTTATGTCAATATATTCGCCATAAAACCATATTCGTATTGCAGTGTTTCTAAATTCTTCCCATAAATGATACTTGATGTTATTATTTGCTATAATATTTCATCCAGCTAAGCCTAAGATATATAAGATGTCGAAAGTGATCGTCATAAAAAGATAATGATTGTTTGATCAATCTCGACATTAAAGTTTTGTTACAGTATTACTTAACAATCGTCTGCAAAAGAGGCGTTTATTACGGTATGTTTTTGTCTAATATGGTGCTGTGTATAATTATATGTTCTGATTCTCTTTGGAAAAATTTAAGATAGTGAACACTTGGATCCTATTTTACAGATGAAGGTTAGACGTGCGTAATAAGAAAGCAGAGAAAGTGAAATGTACTTGCTATTTTGCTAAAACCAACTATCTTTTACATGAAACTTCTTTAGTCTTAATCAAAAAAGGATGTTGTTGATTATATTTATTTTCTTTTTAATAATACCCTGCACAGACAGTTCAAGTTTCTGTACAATGTGTGACGTGTAATATTGTTCCTAAAAATACGCCAATAAATAATGAACCTAATATCAATGGCGTCATGTTTTGGCCGATTTAAAAAACTAAAAAAGAAAAAAAAAGAAGTATAATTTAGTTAAGCAACAAAATGATCATTTTTTTATCTACTTTTAATAAGTGTTTAGCATAAATTCTTCAGATAAGAGTACTATGAATTTTTTTTGTAAAGTACACAGTTAGTTTATACCACCAGATAAAATCTGTTACAATTCATAACTTTTAAGATTTTATCTTTGACTATTTATTTCAAAGACTGCTTTAGGCATAACGTGGTCTGAAATAGCAATTCATCACCATTATTCTGCCATCTAGGGACTAAAATGTAAACTAATTTTTCGGTTTGTACAAAAACCTCAAATTTATAATTGTATTGTTTTATCTCAGTATCAAGCTTCTTGAATATTTTTACATTTCAGTAAATAACTGAAAGTCAACAAGTGTGTTTACTCATTTGATAGGTTCGGTTACAATGAATATTACGAACTATCGATATTATGATTAAAGCAAGAAATTCAGTTAGTGTAGGTTTCGTAGTGAATTAATACTTTCCTTTTAAGAGAGTCTATTTGTTTCTTTGGGTTTACTTCAAACAAAATGTATATCAATCAAAAAATGTTCTCTTTTGAAAGAAAAATAGCAACCAAGTAATGTCCAGTCAATCCTTGATAAAATACGGTAATTGACCAAGATTTACAAAACAGTACGTCGCAAACTTTGATGATTGCTTTGTCATTTAAAAGCTAGAATATATAACATGCAAGTAAGCATGTAACTAATAACTTTAACGGGTAAAGCTTCTGAAATTCAGCATGGAAATTACTGATCTTTTAATTTTCTAAATATAAATAATAACTAGGAAAGACGTCACTCGTTGTCTGGAGCTGACTCTTTATACGAGGCTATGGAATGTAAAAGTTTGTTTGTTTGTAGTGTAAGCACAAAGCTACACAATGGGCTATCTGTGCTCTGCCCGGTTTCTAGCGTTGTAAGTCTGCAGACACACCGCTGTGCCATTAGGTGGCGGATTGTGGTAACTGTTCGGAACTTCAATACACTATTTTTCCAATTATAGATGTCAAACTGTATCAGAACATAACTGTATTTTCTCTGAAAGCTTCAAACGCGGCTCGGCGTGGTCTAGTTAGTGTGATAAAGTATGAATCCGAGGGTCCATGGTTCGTGCCCCTTTATCGCAAAATTACATTACATATGTTGGGACCGTTATGAAAGTAACGGTAAAATCCCACCATTCTATAGAATAGCGTAAGAGTTAGCGGTAAGGGTTTCAAATATATCAGTTCAAAATTAGGAACAGCTAGCGGCCACAAAGCACGTTTTTATGATATCGAGCCGCGAACTATGAACCGCTACATTTACAGCCCGAGTACGTTAACCATCAAATAACCCCAGACCACACTTTAAATAACAAATGTTGTGAAGCTTGTAATACAAAAGTATTACCTTATAGAAGTTATTAAGCACAACCAGTTTCAGTGATTGTTTCTTGTTATATGTTTTTCTACGCTGGACAGTATTAGATTCAATTATAAGGGGTAGAATAACTTGGAAGCAACCAATTATCACATTGCTGTCATCTGATGTAGAATGTTCCAGTTATTGTAAATTTAACTTTAATGTTTTACTGATATCTAAATTACAAAAACGTTACTTTATAACAGTGAAATTAGTTACAAATTATAACCCAAAAAATCTGTGTATATCTTAATGACTACAACGTATTTACAGAATCGCATAGGTTTTGTTAAAACAGTTAAAAATATTAATATTCATTCAAAACACACACGTGTTATGCAATATTTTCAAACAACTATTTGTAGAAAAACACTTCAGTAAAGTTGCTGCTATAGCAACAGTATTTTGATAATACAAAAGACGAGAAAACGTTTAAGTGGGTTTGTAATTGCAAAATATTGTTCAAAAGAAGGAATAGCATAAAGAAAAGCAATTATAAGCATATAACTCAGGACCATGCCACATATATCATACTAGGACTAACACAGAGATTACAGTCAAAAATATTTGAAAGTAGTTTCTGACGCTGCTAGTATATTAAATATCTATTGATGCTTTAGAATAGCAGAAGTATATTTTTACCGAAATGCTCCATACTATATGTTATCTGTGCTGTTCCCACCGCGAATATCGAAACCTGATTTTTAATGTTATAAGCTCTCAAGCTTACCGCTAAGTCACCAGGGGGGGGGGGGGCACATAAACGAAATAACGTCAGCAAGTAACAATAATAATAATAAAAAATTAGAATGTTGCATCCTCATATGCAATATTACTACTGGAATATTTTTAGATTCGAAAGTTAATCGCAGACATTGTATTACTTTGGGCCTGTGGGGAAAATATATTAGAAGGCAACAATTGTTCATAAAAATCTTTCCCCCATTTTTTTTTTTTTTGATGCATTTGAATCCACGTAAACCTTTATCCCAGAAAAAAAATCAATTTACTTTTCTGAAAATATTAGGATGTGAAAGAAAAAGAATGAAGACTAGGATCAAACTGAAATATTTAAGTCCTAAGTTATCTTTGGAAGCCTATATGAATAAATGTCGACTTATGTTAATATACAAGATAAATTAAGTTTTGAATTAAACGACAAATCGAAGTATTTCACAACTTTCAAATTTTGCAGGGAGTGTCAACAAAAGTTTAATTTTATGTGCCAAATAATTAGATCTTTGATGACAGAAATGTGTTAAAAATATTTCGTCAAGTAAACACTGATGAAATGTAGTTCTAAACTTAAATGTTTTAGTTATTCAATACTGGAAGCTTCCTTTATTTTAAAACAGTGAAGTTCTACCTTCCTTCAATAGATGCACAAATTTCACATAATAACTTCTGAAATTTTAATGTTTCAAAGTTCCAGTAATTAGTAGTAGATAATAAAAGTATTTTTTTAGTTCAAATTCTAAACTACGATCTTCACTTACAATTTTAAATCACAACTTTTGGTTATAACAGCTGCAACATATGCGGGTTTCATAATAGTTTATTTTTAGTATCACAGTTATATTCCTTAAAGTAAAAAAAAAACATGTTTCCAAACAACACGAATTTTCATGGTAAAAAATCAAGCTCTGACCATTTATCGAACATTGTCTTAAAAATAAACTATGTTGTTATCCAAGTTTATATACCTTTCTTCACCACTAAAAATAACACTCAATACATTTATTTTTCTTACTCCAATTTTTATACTTTAACTAAAAGGTTAAATTGGCTAATACTTGAATTCAAATTGAGAAAATTCACTTGTTTACTTTTTGAACTTTTTAACAACTGTTTAATATTTCTGTTATCTTTAATGTAACTTTTTAGTAATCATTTTCTTTTAGAGATCACATCAATGGTTTTCTGTCATATATATCACAATACAACAGTTGGTTTTTGAGAAACTTTGTTTACCTCTACTAATTATAATTATTAAGATATCATTTAATAAACTTTTTTATACCATGTTTCTTCGTATTTTTGTTCTATCAAAACTCTGCTACTTGTAAAACCTTGAACCGAATACATTTCCAATAGTATAGTTCTAATTAATATCGACTTGAAATAAAATTGAAATTTAGAAATCTTTAATTAATAAACATACTTTGAGAAAAAGCAAGGTTACCCAACTGATAATTCATCAAGTTTTAGTTTTATTGTATAGTCAGTTTGTTATAGAATTGGCTTTATTAATTTCATAAATTCTTCTAAGTTATGATAAATAATATAGTTAACTTAGGTTTAATTAGATGTTTTTGATAATTGGGTTGAATCTTTATATTGCAAAGTCAAAATATCACATCAGCCAAAATAATGATCAATTTGTAATGGAAATGGTGAATTTGTTTTGTAGGTTGTTGTTTGTTATTAAGCACAAAGCTACACAAAGGGCTATCTGTGCTCTGCCCACCACAGGTATAGAAACCCGGTTTCTAGCGTTGTAAGTCCGCAGACATACCGCTGTGCCACTGGGGGGGGGGGGCATGTTTTGTAGGATATTTGATGGTGTATTCAATATAAAAGAACAAGTATTCAAGTTTATTATTCAAAAGCTGTATACGACCAGCAACATTAATTTAGATTTTGTAGCAGCTTTCTGAGAAATGTCATTATTTTTTGTATGTACACTTCAATAAAATAATCTACCATTGTTGATAGCTTTCATTAATTTTTTTAACATTCCCTATTTAGAACAATGAAATACTCATTATTATCTCAAGAATTATACTGGCAAATATTTTGTCTATCAATGATACTACAATTTGTAACAATTTTCAGTCATAAACAGCTCGTGGAAAAGTAAAGATATAGTGATATATAATGAAGTACATAAAATTTTGTACCATTTGCTACTTCAAGTATTAGTTGTAATGCCACCTTCAATATTAAAAGTTACAACAACTTGAAATCAATATTTCCTTTTTTTTTTGTTTACAACAAGAGCAACAACTACAACAAACCGCAGAAATTATCAGAGGTACTAACCTACCTTACAAATATTTGTATATATATTTTTTTGAAACATCATTTACAATTTGAATACAAAATCATTGATGATGCACACTTCTAAATAAAAGGTACTGGAATACAAAGAAATTAATAAAGAGTTTGATAAAATATACTCCAATACTCCATAGCACTTTCGATTATTTTACAATTGTTATGACCTTGAAAATAACACATATTTTTAAAGGATGAAATACAGCTAAAAACCATACATGACTTTATAATATCTATCACTTATGGTTTTGTAATGTGTGCAAAACCTAAACATTTGGAAAGATCAGAAAAGACTATTTTGAAATATAACAAGCTGATAAAGATTATGAGCAAAAAATAAAATTATAAAAATGTATACATCATTTTAGTATAGTATGCAAGTTGATTATACAATATGACACTAAAATTATGATTGAGACTGTAGATAATTGAAAAGTTGCATGCCATAATTATAACAAGAATCACTAAGAAATTTCTCAATTGATATATGCTACTACAATTATGATTGAGACTCTTAACATGCCTCAAAAAATATGAAAGAAAGTGAGTTTGTTTGCTCCATGCTTGTAAAATATGCAGCCAAGCACAAGCAAGTTTAAATTTCCAAATACCATGAGAACATTTTAAATTAAATTTTTAATTTGCTAAAACTATTGACTTATGAGTAGTTTCAGTCGTTCTCACTTTGGCGTATAGTTTGTTACTCTCACTTTGGTGTATAGTTTGTTACTCTCACTTGGTCGTACAGCTTCAGTCGTTCTCACTTTGTCGTACAGCTTCAGTCGTTCTCACTTGGTCGTACAGCTTCAGTCGTTCTCACTTGGTCGTACAGCTTCAGTCGTTCTCACTTGGTCGTACAGCTTCAGTCGTTCTCACTTGGTCATACAGTTTTAGTCTTTCTCACTTTGTCGTACAGCTTCACTCGTTCTCACTTTGTCATACAGTCTCAGTCTTTCTCACTTTGTCATACAGTTTCTGTTACTCTCACGTTGTCCAGATATTGATACATGCAACAGATTTTCTACACATCTAAAATATGATGGAGCAAATATGTATCATGTTTATCGATGTTAGAGAAATGTGTCAGATAACCAAGTATTTTAAGATCCTTTCTAATATCTATTATATCAAGAACTTCAGAGCAATTTAAACTGCTGATTCATAAACTGAAGTCTCCTATCAATAATAACCAGTTGTACACTACCGTAACATCTTTGGTTAAGATAATAAATGTTATAAAATTGTACAAAATCTATTTTTCAAGCACATACAGAATATCAATTTTTGAATTATTTCTTGGATAGTTTTGTACAAGGCAATTTCTAATTTTTTATTTGCTAAGCTTTGTTAGTACCTTACAGCCCTATTACCAGTTTCTTACAATTTTTCATTAACCAAAGTTTGAGAGATCATATATATATATATTTTTTCTTAGCTATCAAAACAAGCTGTAAAAAGTACAACAAAAATGCTGCATATATTTAAATAATCATCAGAGCACAGACTATAATGTGGGATATGAGATGTGTCCTGTGTTTTGGAAGTGACCGCAGAAGTAGGACCAACATAGTGGTGAGGATGCACTGTTTAAAATTCTTAACCTCTGTTTGCTAGTCTCAAATGTTAAAGAAAGAGGAATAAACAAAAAATAAGAATAATTTAGAAGATCAAAATGTGGGTGCTCGAGCCCACACCTATATCACCTTTCACTGCCTGCAGACAGTTGTGGGAAGATGACTGCTCTCCAAAATAATGTAAAATGAAAAATGTATTTATGATAAATGAAATTAAAAGTATATAAACATTTAAACTAAGAATACAGTAATTAATAATTTTCTTAAGGCCCATAAAACTGCATGCTAAGACAAATCCTTTTTCAAATTTACCTTTCCTGTATACTATTCCTAAACTACATAAATCTCTGATAAAATTTAAATTTCCAGTTCAGTGTGAAAACAATTATTAAACAACTAGCCATTTTATTAAATTACCTAATATTTCATTTGATAGAATATATAAATAGTAATAACAATATACACACTTTTTTAGATAAAAAAAATAATCAACCCATTTTAGAAAACTATATATACCACAATTTTATTGAAAGATTTGATTTCAGTTATGAATTTTTTAACAGAACAATACTGTAACCCTTATGTATGACTTTGAAGAAAGAACTGCTTGTTCGTGTGCCACTGGGAGGTTTGAAGAAAGAACTTTCACCTCCAAAAAAATAAAAGATATATTAAATTTCTGTATTTATAATAATTATATTTGTTTTCAATAATCAGGAATAATGATGACTAACTAATCTATTTATAGCTAATTTATATCTTTATTTTTATGAAAATATGTTTATTGATAATGCCATAAATCTGGAAATTTTCCCCTTAACTTAAAGATATATTGATGATTTAATTAGTTTAAATAATCCTGAGATAAATCATTTTATTAACACTATGTATCTGGTAGAATTAGAAATTGAAAATACTTCACTTTCTAAAGTAGAAACACATTATTTAGATGTAGAAATTAAAATAATTAATCATGATATTAATTTAAATGTTTTTTCCAATATATGGCCTACCCTCTCCTAACAGTAATGCCATAGTCTTCAGTTATAAGTATTATAACTTCACAACTGCTCAGATTCTGTAACATTGTTAATAAATTACAATACTTCATTATTAATGTTGAAATATTGATACAAACATATTTGATGGATTTTATAAAGAAACATTAAATAAAATTAAAATATTTTGTGGTAAATACAAAAATGCATTACATAAATATAACAAAGTAAGAATTCAAAATGTTTTACTTTTACTTCTGATAAATATTTTTAGTTTTTAATATGGTTGTTTAAACACCTTGGCACTATTTTCATATGAATATTTACACCATTATCACACAAAGGGTACATAATGTCTGTAAATTAGTAGTTACAGTAGACTCTATGAATAAACTTAATGGGTGGAGGCTGGGAGTTATACTAGTTTAGATAACTTGGATGGGTTTTTATACTAATATAATTTGTCTCCTGTACTAATAATATTAACTTATTAATAATTTCAGCTTTTACTACTATAATTGGAGCTGGATTACCAATGTCAGGAGATAAGGTTTCCTTACTTACTCCAAATGGTAGAACCTTGTTTATTTTCGTTTTTCTTTCATTTTACATTATTTTGGGGAGAATTCACCTTCTCACAACTGTCTGCAGGCAGTGAAGGCTGATACAGATGTAGAAAATTGTGGGCTCGAGCACCCACATCTTGTTCTCCTAGCTTACTTTTCTTACTTATTTTATGTTTACTTCTTTTTCTTTAACATATGAGACTAGCAAACAGAGGTTAAGAATGGTAAACAGTGCATCCTCACCTATTTCTGCAGTCATCTCAAAAACACAGGGCACATCTCATATCCCACATTATAGCCTGTGCTCTGGTGATCTTTTAAATATATGCAGCATTTTTGTTGTAGTTGTTAAGGCTTGTTTTGATAATTAAAATGTTTTTTTCATCACAGGTTTGGTCTTGATGTTTTTAACAGTCTTTCCTTTTGATGTTAATATTCACTTTATCTGAGGAAATTTTTTAAATATATAATTATATAT